GGCGAGCCACGAGTGTCTCATGGGCCACAAGGTGTGTCGCGTGCGACGGCCGAGATGCACGCGTTGACCTGTCCCCCCGCTTGCTAGCAATGGTACAAGCGCCGCAAAGCCGACGCGGACTGCTACGTTGGAGAGAAGTTCCTCGAGCCGGTGGAGCACGAGGAGAACTGCCCGTGTACGGACGAGGACTACGAGTGGTGCGCTCGTCTTGGTGTTACCCTGGCGATTTCCGCTGAGCTGTCCGTCTTAGCGATTACAATTACATCAAGCAGGGCGACAAATGCGTCCCCATTGGACCTGAGCCGATTCCAGCCGGCGTCTGCAAGGCGGACCAGCCTAACCAGATGTACAAGGGGTCTTCGGGCTATCGACTGATCCCAGGCAACACGTGCGACAGGGAGAGAGGAGAGACGAAGGACGAGCCGATAGACAAGCCATGCTCGCAAGGTGAGGTTCATTGTCCCTGTAGACGTGTGTTGCGATGCTAAAATATTGTGGACAGCTCAACCGGAGGAGGGGGAAATCATTCACCAAACAGTATGTGATTACGGGCCTATATTCTAGCAGACTCTCATACCCAGAGATAGTTCGAATTCCCCACGTCCGTTGTGCAATTTGCGTACTTCAAAGATTCCACGGTGGGCTTGTTCCACTATTTTCTTACTTCGATTTAACCCGTGTTCCAGACGATCCTCGTTCGCACAGAAGATGGCAGTGTCTTCCAGTCAAGCAACGAAGGCTACACATGGGAACAAGTCCTCCCTGATGAGCGCTTTGTCGCCTTCTACCACCACCAATTCAGCAGCGACCGTGCGTACCTCATCACAAGCAGCAACTATTTCTATTATACGACGAGCACCGGTCGGGCGTGGTACAAAATGGACGTGCCGACGGGGCCGAGCGCATTCACGAGCCAAGTCCTGCACTTCCACCCGACGCAACACGATCTGCTCATCTGGACGGGCGACGTCGACTGCGCAAATTACGGCAACGAGTGTCACGTGGAGGCGTTCTACTCTCGCGACAACGGCCGCAATTGGAATTTCATCGAGAAGTATGTGCGCAACTGTGCGTGGGCACGCGACGCCGAGCTACTCGTCGACCCGACGCAGATCATTTGCGAGTCGTACAAGAATAAGCAGGGCTCGCAGCTGTTCTTTGGCCTGGAGAACCCGCTGGAGCTCATCAGCGGACGCCAGTACTTCCATTCGCGCACGAAGCTGTTTGACCATGTCGTCGGCTTTGCAAAGTTCTCAGAGTATCTCATTGTTGCGGAGGTAAGTATGTGGGCGAGTTCCGACAATACAACCTGCTGATGTTGTCATAGTATCAAGCGCAGCGGCAGGCACTGGATCTGCAAGTCTCGCTCGACGGGAGGACCTTCGCGACTGGCCTGTTCCCTCCCGGAATGAAGCCTGACCAGCATGCAAGTGCATATTCTCTTTGTGCGTGAGAGCCATCTGACGATGATATAGGCGTACACCATTTTGGAGTCGAGCACAAAGTCGGTCTTCCTGCACCTGACCACGTCCGAGCCGCCAAACCCGTGGTGGGGTCACATCCTCAAATCCAACTCGAATGGGACGTACTTCAGTGTGTCCGTCGAGAACGTCAACCGCAACGACGCCGGCTTTGTCGACTTTGAGAAGATGATTGGCCTGGACGGTATTGCGCTTGTGAACGTCGTTGCGAACCCTCGTGACGCTGCTATCAATGGGCGGAAGGAGCTTGAGTCTCGTATTAGCCACAACGATGGTAAGTAGCGAAGCCCCTTTATTTGAGTTTTGTGAACGATTATTGTGCAGGTGGTACCTGGAAGCGTCTTGTTCCGCCCATGTCCGATTCGCAAGGGAACAGGTATCCTTGTGACCACACTGTAAGTCCCATCCTGACATCCTTCATCTGGCTATACCAATTCCCATGCCACACAGGGCTGTGCTCTGCATATCCACGGATACACGGAACGCTATGATGCACGAGCGACCTACAGCACGCCCTCCGTGCCCGGGCTACTCATGGCCGTCGGAAACGTCGGCGAGCGGCTCTTGCCGTACGCGGAGAGCGACACCTTCCTGAGCCGTGATGCGGGCTTCACGTGGGAGGAGGTACACAAGGACGCACACCTGTGGGAGTTCGGCGACTCGGGCTCGATTCTCGTGATGGCAAACGACGAGGAGCCCACGGACCACGTTCTGTTCAGCACGGACGAGGGTCTGCACTGGCGCGAGTATCAGTTCAGCAATGAAAAGTTCAGGGTGAAGGCAATCGTGACTGTACCGTCGGACACGAGTCGGCGGTTCATCCTCATGGGATTCTATCCCCGTGCTCGAGCGGTGTCGGCTGCGATCCATGTCGATTTCTCAGCACTGACAAGTAAACAATGTGCGTATTTCTATTTCTCGTCGTGTGTATACTTTGTCATGCTCACATATTGATCCTCAGGCGTACTCAGTATTGAGGATCCGGGACACGATGACTTCGAGCTCTGGAGCCCAAGCGAGGAGCGCACGGAACAATGTTTGTTCGGCCGACAGGCGAGTGCATTCCTTCTGCTAACGCAGGCGCTCGCTGAGACGTTTCACAGACGTTGTACCACCGCCGCAAACGCGAGGCAAATTGCGTGGTGGGCAACCAAGAAAAAGCCGAAGAGAAGGTCGTGAACAGCTGCGGCTGCACAGCGTCGGACTTTGAGTGGTAGGCATCCTTGATCTTTTTCTCGCACCTTTCCCTCTGACCTCGTTTCCCCTTCCGGCCTACAGCGAGTTCAACTACTACAGGAACGACGCAGGTGAATGTGTGCTCGTGCCTGGGACGGAGCCGCTCCCGCCGGACGACAGCTGCCGCAACGGGGAGGAGTACTGGTTCGAGCGCACGCCATACCGCAAGATCCCATACTCGAGCTGCGACGGCGGCGTCCGCCCGGACCGCGGGGCCATGCATGCGTGCCCGGGGCTCAAGCACCACGGGTTCTTCTTCTGGATGCTGGTCATCGCGGTGCCGTTCATGATCGCGTCGCTCATCGGGTACTGGTACTGGCGCCGAAGCGGCCTGGCAAGAGGGTGAGTTATCTATTCTTCGATGGTGCTCGGAGCTGGAGAACCGGTACTGATAAAATAGCGTGCGCAGAACGATCCGCTTGCCTGGCGGCGACAATAGGTACCAGGACGCCGACTCGGGTGTGCTCTCAACGCTCGCGAGCGTGCCGTGGGCGGCGCTCGGGATCGCGGGTATCGCGTGGGAGTGGGTCGCGGAGCGGTTCGAGGGGGTGTCGCTCGGTTTGCGCCCGCGGACGGGCTACCGCACGGTCCCGGTCGACGAGGATGCGCAGATTCTCAGGTTCGAGGACGAGGAGTAGGGGCCTAGATTCAGAGATCGTGGAAGGGGAGGGCGTGCATTGGAGGTGCTGGGACTATTTATGCAACGGAATACTAGTAGCTTGTCGTTTCGTCGAACCGTCTGCTTTTGTGCTCGTGCTCCGGGTCGGACTCGGATTTCCTGTATTCCTTAATGTGCAGTAGATACATGCATGCATGCATGCATGCTGGACATCAACATTCCTGGTGCGTTGCATTCTGGGAGTCGAGCGGTAGCAGATGTAGCGGGGCGGACTTCGTCCAAGCAGACTGTACAATGAGACATAGGAAATCCCCCTCGCAGGTGTACCTGGTTTCTCAGGATCTTGCCGCTGCATACCAACGCCTGTCACGTATACACACGTCGGCTGGTAACATTGACGCAGCCATGCGTAGTAGGGAGACCGTGACACAGCTTGCGCGCTTTGGCAGGGTAATGATGCACTCCACTCACCGGTACAATGTCTCGCACGCCTGCGCTTTATATGCACCAGTGGTGCGCCCTCCAACGTTGTGCAACCGTGTAAACGCGCTCAATTTGCATGTGCGAATGTCCGGTATTAGCTCGTGAATCGATGAGCCCCAACTCTGCGGCGTCAGCAGAGCGAGGTGAAGTGAGCCCTAGGTCAGTAGTAGAATACAAGTTAACCAGCGATGCTGGGGGAATACAGATAGCAGATACAGAGCGGTGCAGATGACAAGACGGGCGAAAGTCCTTGGGCGCGGGAGGGAGGAGCAGAGGCGTCACTCGATGACGCCGAGGTGGTCCTCTTTGATTGTGCCAATGGCGAACTGCGCGCGACGTGTTAAACAAAGACAGCGGAAGGAGAGGGGACGCACGATTTCGGTCGCGTCGACACGCGTGCCGACGATTTTGAGGCGGATCTTGGTGTTCTTCTCGATGATCTGCGCGCGGTGAGCGTGCGGGACACGGGAGGCGGGCAGTGGGGCACACCTGGTCCTCGGACGCGAAGGAGGGTGGATTCGAGTTGGGGTCGAACTTCAGGTCTGGATGGATGAGCTAGGACGCGTCGGGTGAGCGTATAGCATAGCGGCTGTGGCTCGGACGCACCTGGTGCGAGACGAAGACCGTCAAGGGCCCAACGTCTGCAAAGAAGCCCATCTACTCCGCGTCAGCTATCGCCCTTACGGCCGCGCTCCGCACGCGCGCACCTTGTTCACGTTGTTGACGACGCCGTCGACGACCTCGCCCTTGAAGGGCTTGAAGACGATGGCGCGGTAGCGGGTGACGAACTCGGCCTGGCCGGAGCCGGGGAGGACCATGCCCTTGCCGATGTCGAGGATGGAGACGACGGCGATGATGTAGCCGAACTGGCCCGAGCAGGTGCCCTCGACGTCCGAGTAGAGCTTCGACTCGAGGAACTGCAGCATGCGCGGCCCGAAGTACGACGGGTGCAGCAGGATCGTGTGCGAGAGCTCTTTCTGGGGACGGCGTTAGCGTGGAGGGTGAGCGGAGGAGGGCCAGGGACGCACGATGAAGAACATTTTGGGCCCGGAGGAGGGGAGACGGCAGGCACGTATCGAGCCCGAGTCGCAGCGAGCTCCTCGAAAGTGGTCGCTGCAGACCAGAGGAGGCAGCCTGTAATGTCTCCCTCACAAGTATATACTTACTCATCATGATGGTGTGGCCGACTAGCTCAGTTGGTTAGAGCGTGGTACTAATATCCCGAGCATGATTGAAGGTGTTATGCCAAGGTCGTCAGTTCGATCCTGGCGTTGGCCATTTTTTGTTCTTCTATGGAGATTTGCCACCGTCTGTGCTTCCTCACCTCCAAGTACTTTCATCCTTCTCTGTTCCTTTGTCTTCGACCCCAGTTCGCTGGCTACAAGCTGTTTCACTTTCCGTACAGCATTCCCTACCATCTTGTTCACTCCTGTCTGGTTAACAGCGCACTCAACAGCACCTGTTCTTCCCACCAACGAGGTTGACGCCCTCGGCACCGTGCAGGTCCTCGTGGTCGACGCAACACATGTCGCTGCGAGTCGTGCGCTTGAACACGTCTGCTACTGGCGAACGCGCCTTGTCCCCGACGATCGTGCGCGCGTGCGGGAATGGCGCATTAGCCCGGTGCGCGTGTCCACAAACAAACACAGCAGTACCTCGTCCATATTAATCGGTGTGAGGTCCCGCAGAGCGACGACTGCGCACTTGCTTGGGATTGTGAGCGCGACCACGGCTCGCGCGTTCTTCCCGACCCTGAGATCCTCGACTTTGTCCAGTTAAGAAGGAAGAAATCTATGCTGGAGAAGAGACAGATGGAAGAAAGCGCCTGGATCCCCGCTGCGCTCTCCGTGCCGACAGCAACACCAGTAGATCAGAGCTGCCAGCTTAAAGTCCTTGCTACTGTCTAGCTGTGCAGCGCTTCGCTGAGGAGTGTCTCTGGTTTGTTGCTGGACGTGTCTGTCGCGTATGTCGAGGTGGAAGTATGGTAAGTATCAAACATAATATTAGATACCAATGGGATGTGACAAATGTAAAACATGATGGGTACCGGAGACTATCACTGAGCATCCTATCACGAGCAGTTGGAGCGTATGCGCTGAGTCAACCTACCCAAAGCATACTTTCCCTATCGGAAAAGCCGAATACACCATGATCGACACCGAGCATCCCTCGCTGAGCCCCCACATTGACAACAGTGACTCAGGAGTATCCTCGGCACCCATTGAAGGTCGACCGCGCGAGACAGATAACCAGCATGTTCGCCCGCTACCTTTGTTGGAATTCCAGACTTGTGCGTACAGCAACTATCACGTCATGTCACGTCCGCCCCGTGTCACTGACGTGCGCCTTTTGCTCATCCCCTTCCTGCTACATACCGTTTTGCTGCCATCGCATGCAACACAAAATCTGGCTGTAGTTATGCATTACGCACAGTTCCACCCCGCCCATGACCCGTTTGATAACCATCGAACATTCCGTTCACATGAGTCTGATCGTATATACGTTCGATGAGACACGGGAAGATTAGAGACGTATCGTACTGAGCCACATCGGTAGAGGCCGCACAGAAGACCGGTATTGGACGTATGATAAAAGCTGCCGCTTGATACACTACGGGGTATGGCGCCATACGGCGTAAGAACATTGACTACGACCTGTATTTTGGCCACTTATTATGTGGCTAAGGAGTATAACAGCGGGCCCAATTGCGACCAATCACGGCCTTGGAAAAGTCAAGTCGCGTCTCATTGTGCCCGATGACAGCGACATTACTTGGCCGGTGAAGCGACAGACGATGGAGGCTCGGTACCCAGAACAGCAGTTGATTGTCTGGGCCCCTCATCCACCCATGCTGATCGACGACAGATTGGTCAGTGAATTTAAGGCAGGAAAGCTGAAAATGGTCCTCTGCAGGTGGGATCTGTAGGATCGTCTTGTCACCAAAGCCTGAGATGACGAAAATAAGACAGTGCTCACATTATCTTGATGCCCGGTGAGTGGCCCGGCCATACTTTGTTCCGTTCGTGCATTCCAGATCCGTATTGTCTTGTCCGACGAGGCAGAAACGATCCGCTCGCCATCAGGCGAGAATGCGACAAGGTTCACCTCATCCTTGTGCCCGTTAAATGGCCCTGACATTATTCGTCCCATCTCCGCATCCCAAATCCGTATTGTATTGTCCCGCGAGCCAGAGGCAACCCGCTTGCCATCGGGCGAGAACGTGACAGAGGTGACCGGATCCTCGTGCCCGATGAATGGCCCTGCAACTGTCCGTCCCGTCTCTGCATCCCAGATCCGTACCGTCCTGTCCCACGAGCCAGAGACGACTCGCTTGCCATCAGGCGAGAATGCGACCGAGGTGACCGGATCATTATGCGCGCTGAATGGCCCTGCCATTGTCCGTCCTGTCTCTGCATCCCAGATCCGTATCGTCTCGTCTGACGAGCCAGAGACGACTAGCTTACCGTCAGGCGAGAATGCGACAGAGTAGACCGAACTTTCATGCCCGTGGAATGACCCTGCCGTCGTTCGTCCCACCTCCGCATCCCAGATCCGTATTGTGTCATCTGATGAGCCTGAGACGACTCGCTTGCCATCAGGTGAGAATGCGACGCAGTAGATCGGATGCTCGTGCCCATTGAATGGCCCTGCTGTTGCATGTCCTGTCTCTGCATCCCAGATCCGTATTGTCTTGTCCGATGAACCCGAGACGACTCGCTTACCGTCAGGCGAGAATGCGACAGAGTGCACCGAACAGTCGTGCCCGTTGAATGGCCCTGCCATTGTATGTCCTGTCTCTGCATCGCATATCTGTATTGCCCTGACCGGTGAGCACGAGCTCGAGACGATTAGCTTGCCATCAGGCGAGAATGCGACGGAGTAGACTGGATCCTCGTGCACGTTGAATGGCCCTGTCATTGTCCGCCCTGTCTCTGCATCCCAGATCCGTATCGTCTTATCCGACGAGCCCGAGATGACTCGCTTGCCATCAGACGAGAATGCAACACAGTTGACGAAATTTTTATGCCCAATGAATGGTCCTGCAATTATCCGTCCCGTCTCTGCATCTCAGATCCGTATTGTCTTGTCGAAAGAGCCAGAGACGACCCGTTTGCCATCAGGCGAGAATGCGACAGAGGTGGTGGACCCTTCATGCCCGTTCAGTGGTCCGACCACCGTCCGTCCCGTTTCTGCATCCCAGATCCGTATTGTCTTGTCCGAAGAGCCAGAGACGACTCGCTTGCCATCAGGCGAGCATGCGACAGAGCAAACCCGATCCCTGTGCCCGTTGAACGGCCCTGTCATTGTCCGTCCCGTCTCCGCATCCCAAATCCGTATCGTCCTGTCCTCCGACCCAGAAATAACTCGCTTGCCATCAGGCGAGAACGCGACACAAAACACTGAGCTGTCGTGCCCGCGTATAACAGTTTGCTCCGCAGGCCAGTCTTGCAGTCGGCCCCGCTGAAGAGATATTGTATTCCTAAATTTCAGTGCATAACAATTTGCAGTACCAGACGACCTTGGAGCAAATGGCAGGCACGAAACGTAGATGTGGGGTGCACTTTCTGCAATAGCTGGCGCAAAATACTGTACGAATTTGAGAGCATCTTTGAGAATGCTGATATCCGCTTCAACAGCCTGTTTTTGTACGCCCCAAAAAGTACGGATTCCGTAAATTAGCCCTGTAAACTGCATGACCAACCATGTACTCACCGTGTGCTCAATAAGACGAGCTAATGCTGCAGCAGCAACATTCACTGCACCAAGAACTCCAACAGCTTCCAGCCAAAATAGCAACTTCTCCTGCAGGAAGGTGGACACATGCGATGATGCCAGATTTGCATCATGCCGAGTTTGCTCCACATGAAATCCCCAGAACCGGCATGCATATGAAAGTGGACGGTCGATGGCCTTCTCTACCTGAGATTGGGGAAGCGCCGCATTGCGCACGAACGAAGACTCGATGTTGCAGATGTTGAAGCAGAGTCTTTCGTTCATGAGCGGAAACATCGACTCGGTTAAGTGACGGTGGGCTACCGCGGGGTCGATGCGAAAGGCCTCAGGGCACGACCACTCGTCATTGACGGAGTCGTCGGTGGAATGGGTCGTGTGACCGAGTAAGAAATCGACGAACGACGGGTGTGCAAATCGAAGTGTATTTCCGACTGCCAGCACAGGCCGAAGCCTATTGCAGATGTTTCCTACTGTAGCCTCCTCCATACCCAGAAGACATCCGAATTCTGCCGGAGTGAGGGAGATCTGGGTAACAACGATCGCACCAACTAGCTTAACGAAGTGCGCGAGTTCCGTATCGCTCCACTTCGAAAACGACTTGGCAAGGAGTCGCCGATACAGAGCATGCACATCTCCAGAAGGTAATGTACCGCCTTGCACGTCGTTCAACCGTTTGTCGCATGGAAAGCCTTCGATGTAGCTGAGAGCAGTAGCCGCCCAGATGAAAACACCTGACGCGCGGCTTGTGAGATCGTCCACCACGGTCTTCCCAGGCCAGCAGGGTGGCAAATACGGGCGATCTGTCGCAATTTCCTTGAACCTATGTTCGATATACTGTTGTATATCTCGAGTCGACTGGGGACTAACGGCATCTGCCGTGCCGATACTGAGAGCCTTGTGAGGTATTCTCAAGAAGGCGTTCTCGATGTCGTCCTCGGCACGACTGGTGATGATAAGCTTGAGGTGAGGGGACAGGTTGGTCCATTCTGCAATGTGGGAGAGAATATCCTTGCGATCTCGGCTGCTCGACCCTCCAAGACCACCGCATTCATCCAAAGCCTCGATAATAAGAACCGGAAGTCTGTTGCGTGGGATAATCGCAGATGACGTATTCCACTGCTGAAGTGGGTCAGCGACGAACTTATGGAATATTTCGGTAGCCGTCATGTTCGTAAGAATGGAGGGATTCCCTTTCAGCGTCGCGACGATATGATCCCTACAGTTGGGGTACTCTCGGGTAAGGGCGAAAGCGATATAGCGCCAGAGTACGGATGGGCTGGTCCCAGCTTTGCGATCAAAGGCGAAGATAGCGCCCATACGATGCGACCGCTCAAGCTCTGCGGCAATGGTAAATGCGATGGTCGATTTCCCTGCTCCAGGATACGCAGCAATCCATAGGATATTCGGGGAATTGGGGTCATTTGTCCATTCTCTAATCGTCGAGAGTATGTCTTCCCGAGTGCCAGCGAGACAGCGTGGTGGGTCCGACTTGGTGTAACCCGGATTGAGCTCCTGCAGGTATATGTATTCCTCCTGCGCCGATG